ATTAATTAAAATAATATAAAAATATTAATTAAAATAATATAAAAATATTAATTAAAATAATATAAAAATAATTTTTGTTGTTGTCGCTCATTACTATTCGAAATTTCTCTATTAAATACCACAGTTTCTGTTAAATTAAAAATAGTCACTTCTGTCATATTGACGTTAAAATCAAATTTAATCGATAAGTATCTCTAATTGTCGGTCGAATATTTTTAAGAACCAAATATTTGATTTCTTTGTTGCGTTGTGCATCAATTGCATATTGATAGTCGACCAAGTCCAATTATAGATGATGTCTCTAACGCTTTCTTTGGCTTCTTTGAATTGTTATAAACATTTCTTTGTGATATATGACTGTCATCGAAATCCTTCTATATCTTTCTCAACATATCTCCAGCAGAAATTTCATTCTTGGCTTAACGAACTAAAACGTTATAAGAATCAAATGTCGAAACTAGTACCACATAAATGTCGAAGATAGTACCACACAAATATTATTTGGTAGTACCAAGTAATTGATATTTAGGCTACCCAAATTTCAATACCATTGCTCTACTAATACCACCTTGTTTAATCTATAGTCATCCCGAGCGGATAAGCCTCTCTTTGTTCACTAGCTTACCTGCTGTTCAGATAAGAAAGAAACAAGTAACATTCATGAACTCTGTCACTGTTCGGAATTTATTAAAAGTCTAGTATCTACTCTAGGTCTCCTTTTCTAGAATCGTATATTCAATATTTATTCCCTGGCAGAAAGCATATATCTGCTTCATGTTTTTTCTTTTTTATATTCTGAATGTTGGCAATAAAGATATTGTTTGTTTTATTTAAATAAACAGAGTGGTTCTATTAAAAACGAAAGTGAATAACATCTCTATCATATTCTCTCTGATGTTCAGAGTCTGGATTGCATATCTGTAACATATCTATATCTGTTCTATCTATCTGTATATCTGTTCTATATCTATATGATATGCAGAGTCTAATTACTTTACGTTTCCATGTCACAAGCGTTTTTCTGATATCCGCTATGTGAATATCAAAAACATTAAGAGAGGACATAAAGACCATAGTAGTTTCCGGTTTTGGATACTGACATCTTTATCTTAAGTATTTTAAATAAGTAAACGTTCTGTAAAATGGTATTCTAATTACAATAGGCCTGTTTCTAAGATTGGAACTGAGTCAATGCTACAGCAAAGCGTTCTATAAATTCAGCAGAATCAATAAATGTACTTAAATATAATACTGAATCTGTAGTACGAATATTTTTACATGACACTCTAGGATTTCTATATGTAAACCAATAAACGTAACTGATATTGGCTAGAGAATGTGTTTCCATAGAGCGATAATTCTATTATGTATTAACTTTGGGGTACCTTAAACCGAATTGCTCACAGTTTTTTTTATTACTTTAAATATTTTATTTATAATATTTCATTTATAAAGTAGCTAAAAATTGTAGATAGCTCACTAATGATAATTTTTATCAATAAAAATTTTGCACATGAAACACGAACAAAAATTATATCTTATCAGAGCGAAAGTTATCAGCGCGTAAAATTCGAAAGACTGAAAATTATTGGCAAAAGGTGCTTTAGTGTAAATCGGTAAATCCTACGAAAAGTTTAAACAAATTGTAAAAAATATTATTGTGCCAAAAAGTGATACTTTGAATATTTATATATACCATATAAGTACATACATATGTATATACAAATTATTGGAGAAGTGAATGAATATTAAAGTGCTGAGAGAACGGGATATATAAAAAAAAATTTTGGAAGAATTAAAAGATTTTATTTTTAATATAAAGCTTGAAAATAGTACAAAATTAAAAAGAAATAAAATACAAATATAAATAAATTATTATATAAAAATAAATAAGTACCTACATTTACAATGGATTATAAAATACTTCTATTGGTAAGTCACAACTACTATATTGAACCTTAATTTAGTTATCTCTGGAAATGTTCCAAAATAAAAAGAAAGCAATTAACTGTTGCGTCAGATATGTATGATATAGGTATTAAAATCGTTTTGATATATAACAAATGTATAAAAGTATATACATGAGTATAGGTAGATGGAGTATTATAAAAATAGACATCAAACCTATGAGAGTCCCAATTATCTTGGAATTGTCATTTAGTAATCAAACTATATAAAATTATATATATGTATATAGATATATAATACATATATATATTTATATAAATATAATTAATAAAATTATATTTCGTATTAAATGACGTCACTTTTAATATAAACTCTATATGGTAGAGCTATTCTCAAATAATGAATATTTGTTAAATTTTTTCATAATTTTGGTGTGTCATCCCAATATTTTGGCTGAATCTATTATTTTTGGGGGCAAGGTCAATATATTATCAACAATTGATAAAACCGATTAACATTTAGTTTACTAAACAAGAAATGTAGTTTAATCAAGAGTCATGGAAACAAGGTCTTCAATAACCAACTATGAGAGAAAAAAATATTTTAAAAATAATATTTGCTGTTATTGGATAGATAGCTGAAGTAGAAGGGCGTCAGTACATATCAATAACCTAGAAAGTCTTTTATATATTATTTACCATGTAAATTTAGAAAGAGATTTGTTGAATGCATCGATAAAAGTGAGTATAAGGCCAATTACTAGAGTAGAATGATTTAGGAATAAGTTGATGAATTACAGGTTATAGCGCTTAAACCTGATATCTTTTTGTCAGATACTAGGATTCAGTATTTGTTCTATTTTGTCTACAATTAAAATATCCCCAAGCTTTGTTAGGAATACTCCAATCTGTTACCATTTAGATCGTTTGAGTCTTATTCTGGTGATATAATTCGGGTTTATAGAGCAGTTTAAAAATCTATTTTACAAGGATTAAGAATTAGTATATTTCTTTTGTAATTTGCGTACTGATAAAATCTTGTTTCTGTAAACGGATGGTATACTAATAATTAAGGATTATTAAGGTGTCCAAATTAGAGTTACATATTATCATAGCAATATTACAATTACCAATTAATACACACTTTTTATATAGTATATTTTTTTACTTATATTTATTTAAGATTAAGAAAATAAATAATTATCATTCTAAATATCCACGTATTTACATTTTTAAAATAAGTGTAATTACTTTAGGAGCACTTTAGGAGTCCCCTTTCTTGAGTATATTGACCAATCACAAAACCTTCCACTAAACAACATTTTGAGCTTCGCCAAAAGCTCTACGTGGTTTTAAACCATGAGTTCTCTTTTATATACGGTAACACAATTGATCAATAGGACTAAGTGGATCCTCTAGGTATCGTCGGTATAGCTTATCTTAAGCTATACATTTATTACTATAATGTATAATTTGCAAAATTTTGAATGTTTCATATGAACTTTACGCCGACTCCAATATATACTTGGCAGTTTCGCTTTCAGTCCGTAGTAGTAAAAAGAAATAGGTCATACTTTGTATATAAATAGAAATAGAAATTGTATATAAATACAAACTAAGACACTGAAGTAATTGTAGAAATTTCTCTTTGTAAACCTGCCATATCGATTTACAAATAAATCAAAATTCAATAATTTTGTATATATAAATATTTTGATTAATTATAAATTAAGCTATGTGTTTATCATATTTATTTAAAGCTACAAATAAATCACTTTCATACATTGTATATGTGATATTCGTACTCATATATATATTATAGTATAAAATCAAATAATACTTAAATATATACTACAGTATTAATCATTATATGTCGTATAAATATAATGACATAACAAAATAAAATAAAATGAATAAATAATAAATTGAATAACAATTAAGCACTGTTTATTTATAAATATATCTGAAAAATTCTGAAAAAAGTTATGTATATGTTTATATAATAAATAATATTATTAATCAGTCATTTTAAACTTGTACCACTTACATAAATAAAATATCTGGCATTATCGTATTTATATATCTAACTTTACACAATAGATCAACTCAGTCACTATACATAATAGTCCCTACCTAAAAATAATAATTTACCTAGGTTAGGTTAGATTACATATACCGGCCATCCCTAGGCGATTCACTTAAGCTCATTAGTCCATTGTGTTACCGTATATAGAGGAAAACTCAGGGTTTAAAACCACCTAGGGCCTTTGGCGAAACTCAAAATGCTCTTTAGTGGGAGGTCCTGTAATTGATCAATATCCTCAAGAAAGTTGAGTTGATCAGTATCCTAAAGTGTTGAATCGCTATTATGTATTTGCTGGGCAAAGACAGAGTAGAAGAGAGGCACTCTCAACGTCTTCCCCAAAGCTGCGACAGGTATGATTAAAAGGGAGATTCTTCTAGTCTGGTTACCTATAATAATTCACCTAAATACTTTTAATTTTTTTTAGTGTTCAGTTAAAAAATTCATCTATAAGATAAATATTTTTTGCGTTAATAAATACATGATTAAAATATTTTGGTTTATATACTATATTAAAATATAGTATATAAAATATGGACAAGGTAAGGGTATGAAGCTAGTGAAGTAGAACATTCAATAAAAAAATTAATAATTAAAATACAATATAAATAAATTTAATAAATAATAAAAACAAAATCAAAATAAATTGATCTAGAAATAAAAAAATATTTAAGTAAAGTGATATGAATATTAAAACAAAATAAATTAGAAAAATGATTAAAACAAATAAAATAAGAATTGAAAAATAAATATAAATATATAATTAAAATAAGTAAACTCTAAACACATAAAGTTATAATAATGTGTATTTAGTTTAATTTAATTTAGATTCTCCCGAATTTTGAATAACCTCAACTTCAATAACAAAAATATTATTATATATTTTATTTACCAGTTATTTTTCACATATTTTAAAAATATAAACTCAATTATTTTATTTATTTAAATTAATTCATTCATTCTGTACTATCTGTTATAATAATCCAATTGCATTTAATTGCCAACTTTATCTATCTGGACTCACAAAAAGTCTTTATCTAAAATTTTATTTGATTTGTTTAAAATCTAAAGGACCCGCTACTTTATTGGCAGATTGATATACTGACAGATTCGCAGACATCACTTAATTGACTTGACTTATTATATTCATCTAGGTCTTATTCTTGTTCATCAAGATCTTGACTTAAGATATCCATAAGATCTTCAACATCTCAAACATCGTGATTAGAGCAATATACTTATTTATTCATAAAATTTTTTTAATTTATTTTTCGACCTATTTATTAAAATGGTTTTTTTATATATTTTTATTCTAGCTGAAGGTCCCTTCTAGTTAAATAGTATATACTCTATATTTCTTTCTATATTGCACAATATAGACGATAGAATAAAGAGGACGACGTTTATGCAGTTTTAATAATGATAACTTATAATCGTAATCCTGATGATGACTCTCAAGGAAAGTCGAAAAATATATTTTAATAAAAAATATTAAAGTTTTATTATATAACAAGAAGAGACCTACAGCTAGAATAAAAATATATAACCAGAATATATAAATCAGAATATATATAAAAACCTTATTTATTCATAATAGAGTTAAGTATTGTATATAATAAGTACATAGGTACTAGCACGAAAAACAGTAATTTCTTGAAAAACTTTTTTTTCTAAAAAATCATTAAAAAAAAAATAAAAATTCTATTACATTTCTTATAAAATTAAAAAAAAAATATTTTATAAAAAATAAATTATTAAACCATTCAGACCCGAATTAAAAATAATTTGAGAAGTAATATTTTTTAGTCCTCCAATTTTTTTAATTAGTACAATAGTTATAATAAAAATACATATATTTAAAAGAAAATACTGTATGTACACTTTTTAATATATGTATTTAAATATAAAAATATATAGTTTAAATAAATGCATATATTAAAAAGTGTACAGTGTTGTTTTTTTAAACTATATTTTTATATATATAAAATTTTCTGACATAAAATGAAAAATTTATTAAAATATTAAAGGATAGAACCCTGAAATTATTTGCGAAGACTGACAAGCTTACCAACACGGCGTTATCGAATCTCAGAATGGTTATAGACTCCTCGGGGAGGTATGCACATCTGTGGTCAATTATTGCTTAGTCTGATTAAGTGATAAACAATAAAACAGTCAAGGCGTAGAGAGGGGTTATGAAGAACCCTCGAAGTTTATAGAGAATAAAAGTGCTCAAGTGCACTGACTCAACTAGCCTCATTATAATAAATTAAAATTACACTAAAACTATATACAATTAAAATTATAAAAATATATTAAAATCAATTTTTAAAATCCAAAAAATATTAATTATTATGATTATTAAATAAGCAAATAAAATCAAATAAATAATTAAAAAAACTAAATTATATACTAGGCCTTATTTAAAATTTTAAGTAATATAAATTTAATAAAAAAATTCAATTGTATAAAATTAGTTTAAATAAATATATATAAAAATTAATAAACATATTAATAAAATAAAAAAAATAAATTAAAAAAAATTCCGCTGTTGGCTGGAGGTGCCGGGGTTTGAACCCGGGACTTCTCACATGCGAAGCGAGCGCTCTACCACTGA